CCCATGACTCCTAACTAGCAGCAGATGGCTTGTGTGCTTGAGGTGCTGCAGCCTCAGAACAAGGATCTTCTCAGCAACTGGAGGATCAGCATGGGCGTCCATATGCAAGGCCTGGGGTTCAGTACACGTTGCTGCCTTATTACCAAGCCTTTTTACTGTGCAGTGACTCAATAAAACATTGTCCAGTCACCTTTCCAGCAGCCCATGCTGGCCCCTCAAGTCAGCCTGTGGACAGAGGCATCCCAGCAGGGGCTGTACCCATGTTCAATACGATCCTGCTGGCACAGCAGAATTATATGAGCCCTCCTATAGGGTTTCTGCAGCCTCCTGGCTCTAATCGGTATCAGATACCTCAGCCCCCCTCTCTCTGAAGCTCACAGCAGACAGCACAGCAGTACACAGGAATGTTGTCACCATCTAGACCTAGTGTATTGATCATGCAATTGAATGTGCCTATTGGACCACAGCGTGCACTCGTGCGCGCGCGCGCGCGCGCACACACACACACACACACACACACACACACACACACACACACACACACACACACACAAATCCACCAATGGGCGAATGGAGTAACTGCAAATATTACCGTGTAGACCAGCAAGGACAGAAGCCTTGAGACTTGGACAATCCTGATAGTGACTGCAGGCCAGCACTCAAGGATGCAACAGCCCTGTCCTATCTCCTAGTCTCCAACACCCTCTCCCATCACCATGCTGCCTGCACTGGATTCAATCTCCTGCTTTTCCTCATCTAGTTCCCTGAGCCTGAGGGTCCTTTCACAGGGTGGTGAGCACTATTCCCTCTCATGGCAGTCACTGCACTACAGTCTGTCCATCTGCCCTCCCTTGCTCTATGGCCAGTCAATTTACATAGAATGTACCAGGGACACAGTAGATTGAAGCAAGGTGCTCTGTTGGTAATGGTGCTAGAAGTGACAGATCTCTCTGAAGGTATCATCTACACAGAGGCAAATTCTTCACCAAGCTGGCCATCTCTTGCACCAAGATCCAGTGGTTTGTAACAGGAAAACGTATAATACTTAATTGTGCATACACATGTTTGCTGAATATATTCACTGTAAATTTTATTTAAGCTAATTTTATTGTTTGTTTGAGGAGTTACTTTGGGAGATGAGTTTCGTTTTTAACTTAAAAGTACTTGTAAAAATTAAGAGAATAGATCTCTCTTCACAAAGTTCTTAAAGAGAACAAGATACTTACAACTCATCATACCCCAAGAATAAAAATTTCTGGGACAGTACATACTTAGTGTGTTTCAGTCAACTCATTTTTGTGATTTCTCTAAAATTACTCAATTTGTTGGGTTCTGGTGAAAAGTCAATGTCATTTAGAAAAATCAACTCCATGTTCAATTGGTTATAAAATTCATTATTCTTACCCCTTCTTCTCTTGCATTATCCTTCATTAACTTTTTAATCTAGTCAATGATTAAAGCTTTTTGTCACTTTCATCTGCCACATCCCTACATTGGATTATAGCCTATTTATGCCTACCCATCCTATATGCTTTAAATACTTCATCAGCCTTAGTAAATTTCTTTTAAAGTCTTAGCATTATACATCCACTCATTTCTGGTACCCTTCTCTTTAAATTCAACCAAAACTCCTGAAAAATTGACATTTAAAAACCTCTGCTTTGGGTATATATCACTCTCATGATGAGTAATTCTCTATTTTATTAGCTATATCAATTTCTAGTATTAGACTCTTTCTGTTTTAATGCCATTAATGCTATTCTTGCTACAGAGAGATCATTTCTTCAAATGCCATCATATATGGAGACCCAAAGTGTTAAGTACACTCACTCACGCTCATTAAAGAAGGGGTGTTACAAAATGTCTTTTATGTACCTTTCTAGTAACTTATTGCTGGAGCTACATAATACCTGTAGCCACAATAAATCTGTCTGAATTTTTTTTATTTCAATTATGTGCCACTTTGAGGCCTTTTACTGTCACACTGGATAGATTTCCAAGAAGTCTAAAATCCCATCTTGTTTGAAACTTATACAACACTGAAAATTTCACAAAATTGACTTGTCACTTATTTCCAACACCCTCCAATAAATTGCCATCACCTGTGTTGGAATTAGGCATAGATCTATGGGAAGAATTTTAAAAGAGTATGGTATGAGGTGCTTTTGACAACCAATAACTGAGATATAAAAAATTGGTGGGACTTATGGCAATCTCTTGCCTTTTGAATCAAAAGAAAGATGAAATATATCAGAGTAATTAACATTCTGCCTACATCCAAGAGGTAAAGGAGATGTTGCTACCTTAGCTCGGAGCCTGGTCTTTTCTACTGTTCTGAGACATGGAGCCATAGCAAGGTTTAGATTAAAAAGTCCCAAGGATATGTATAAAATCAGAGAATGGGTTGGCTGAAACACCAGTGCTATAAGCATTAAGAGTTTTTTATACATGGGTAGAAATCTGTCTAGAATTCTTAAAAAGAGAAAGATCTAGACTTGTTTTGCTTTAGATCTGTAAAAATCCCATGGATGAATGAAGAGGTACTTCTAATGCAAATGAAACTTCTAGGAAAGCAAGGAACAAAAGAGACATGAAAGAGGAACATGGGATATCACTAAAGGGTTAGGTAGCTTAGAGTCTCCTAAGGTTGGATATCTTGACAGCACATTATCCTTCATACCCAGTACTTTACTAATTTCCCTTTATTCTTTTATTCACCTATGCCCTACCTCATAATTCTATTTTCTTGATTCCATTTCAGATATTTTCATTTTTTGTCTATCAAGATGCCAGCTGGATTGTCTTCCACTTCTAAAATTCCTTGATAATCTGATCCTTGTTGGAAAGACAAACCTGCACTCTTTCCTTTCAGGAGACCTGACAGTGAGATAAGCCAAGATCCTAAGTTACTCAGAGTCAGTTGACAAACTGAGCTTTCATCCACCAAAGACTCGAGATTAAGTAAACGAAATCTGAGTGCTCTAACATTATTTTGAAGGCCTGTTAGGATTAGTGGTTTCCTAAGGAATGTCTGTGTGAGTGACTCTGAGATGATTGATTCTAAACAAATTTGCTTATTCGAGTAAAAGAAGAGAAGACTAGCATCCGATTCTTTTGTGATATGTGGTAATGATTCGGTTTATTGCTGTAGCATGGATTCCTATGAAGAGGAGAGGAGAATTGGAAGAGAGAACAGGATGGAGTCAGTAGTGACCCTTCACTGTTACCACTCCACTGATGCAATGGTAATGGCTTATATTTATTTTTCAGTTGCTACAAAGCATACTTTCAGCCACCACTTTTCTTCAGTAATGTGGCATCTGGATGATGGAGAAAGCATAGCATGATGCAAATGGCAGAGATTTGGAACAGATAGGAAAATACACCCAGGAACAACTCCTGAACAAGTGCCTTTCCTAGTAGATGTTTTAGGAAAATGTTAGTGGGCCTGAAGGACTCTAGGAAAGGCATCTTCACCTGGAGGGAATTCACCTTGCAGTACTGTCAGTAGTAAATCTTCTGAAAGAACCCTGTAAATTGTGCATACTGGGGATGTTCCCATCTTCTTGTTCCTCTTTCCAATTCTGACAAAGACAAAGGAATGGACATCAAGAAGCAAGAAAAGGTGAGAAGTTGTAGGAAATGTCCTCCTCAGCCTTTCCTACTTGGGCCACAAGAGGGTGAGGTGATATATTCTGTCATTTCAATATGTGATGAAGGTGAAATCACATTAAAGGGGACTTGTTAAACATAGAATAAAGAAATCATATAGGATGTGTCTAAGATGATCCTGAGGACATGAACACTGATAATTGGTCTTTTAGGGTTTTAATACATCACTCCTCCCTCTCCACAACTGGATTCCAGTAGTATGGTTCAGTGCTTAGCTGTGGGTGCCTGATTCTGCTTTGAACAGCTACTGGATGAAGGCTTTAGGAATGATAACCAAGGTAGACATCAGATGGGTTGGGAGAAACCTGTAGAAACAGTGGATCTGACCTAGTGAGAGCATGGAGACCCTAGTCATAAAGCTGGGGAAACGCCATTGGACCAAACCAAGCCCTCTGAATGTGGGTGCCAGATAGGAGGCCAAAACAGTCTATGGGACCTCTAACAGTGGAGCCAGTCTTTATCCCTAGAGCACAAATGGACTTTGGAAGCCCATTCCCTATGGAGGGATACTATTGCAACCCAGATACAGCAAGGAGGGCCTAGGCCCTCTCCCAAATGATATGACAGACTTTAAAGGATCTCCATGGAGGGCCTCACTATCCCTGAGGAGGAGTTGGGGGGGTGGTTGGTGGGGAACATGGGAGGATGGGAGGGCAAATGAATGGGGGACAGATATGTAAATATGAGTAGTAATTAAAGAATTAAAAAATAGGAAGATAAAAAAACAAGGATACAAAGTTGCATGTCTGCTGGGCGTTGGTGGAACATGCCTTTAATCCCAACACTCGGGAGGCAGAGGCCAGCCTGGTCTCCCAGCGAGTGCCATGATAGGCTCTAAAGCTACACAGAGAAACCCTGTCTTGAAAAAAAAGTTGCATGTTTATGTAATGGGGTAATTTTAAGAAGACTTGGAAGTAAATATGATTAAAACACTTTGTACAATATTCTCAAATAAGTAATAAAACTGTTGAATTTCTCCAAGTATTCCAGTGTTTCCAAGTTCAAAGTAGCATGGCTATGGCTATGCTTTTATTATTTGATGCCACTCTTTTAACCCAGTAACTTGATCCATACTAACTGTAACTCTAAAGCAAGTGGTGGGTCATCTCATTTTTCTTTCAAACATCTATTCTTTGTGTTAGGATGGTCTCAGGGCTATGGACACATTTAGTACTAAATGAACCAAAGATACTCACACATTTTTTTATGCTTTGGCATAGCTAGCATGTCACTTTTTATTTTATAAAGGAGAACAATTACACTCAGGCACACCTTTAAAAGGTATACAATTGTAAGAAGCTTCAAAAGGATGGCTCACTAGGATCTTCTCAAAATTCTAGAGAGCTGCAGATGTCTCCTTTAACAAGCAAACACCTCAGGTACTTGAGATAAAGGTCAATTGTATATGTGTCAACACGAAGGCAGTAGAACAATTTATAAAGAGCAAAAAAGTGACATTCTTCATCAGCTGCCTGCAAGGATGCCAGATCGGTCCAGACAGGGTATGTCTCATTTTCTTTCAGTCCAGGATGAATCTAAGGACCAAATAGGTAGTTAGACATTTAATATTACCACCAGTTGCATTTACCATTGCCACTGCTTGTATTTACCTCTCATTTTCCCTTATTAATATTGATTTATATATAGGGATATATTAGTAGTGTAAAGTGTTGGTCAGAAACATGGATTTCAGAAATCTAGCACATTATACTATAGATCTGTCATCTAAAATCTAGGAAGGAGACCTATTTTTACCTTTCTAAAAAATAAGTTGATACCATTTGAAGTACGGTATTTTGTGACTAAAGAGACAGAGGACCAGGCACTTGTCCCCTGAGCATAGATTTGTGTTTAGCCAAGGGACAGAAGAAGAGCTGATGACAGTTTTCTCACTTAGGAAGCCAACAGGCCAGGGGTGAATATGATAAGAGACAAAGAAATAATCAGGAATGTGTCCCATGGAAAGTTACTACCCAAATGACTGTGAGGAACAGCTTCATTTTATGTCCATCATAGTGGTGAAACTGCATGCAAGAAGGAATGCCTATACTGTGTCCTTGTGACGTGAGCTGTGACAAAATGTATCATTCACCACAGAAGACACATCATTCTGTGGAGAATGTGGGAAAAATGTGGGAGAAAAGAAGACTGCTCACCTTGCTCAGTATCGTCATGATGTTCTCTAGAAGCTCACTGTTTATGGTCTCAACGCCTTTGGCTCTTGACAAAATCGCATCAGGGGCACCTTTCATACCACCAAGTTCAGTCACTAGGTGATGCAGTGGATTATTCCAGGAATGCACTATGCTGAGTATCATTTTCAGGAAGTCTTCAAACTATATGTCATAAAGGAGCAACAATATTAAGACAAATGAAGTACCAATGGATTAGTTACATGTATTTTTAATTAGAAAGAATAACACAAACACTCTTGAAGATTAAAGTGATGTAGAGCTATAAATTTCAACCATTCACCCATATTCTGCCAGAATGAAGCAACTTATATGAATAACTTTTTGAATATAAGTTTACAACAAAAACTTATAGGCATAACTTATATAAATTGCTTTTTGCAATGAGCAAATATTTGATCATATTTTGTTATACATTAGAAATTCTACCACCTTCTCTCCATGCAAGATCATACATATTTGATTGTTTAGCATGTCCATAGGACACCAAGGCTTTGCTTGAAATATAGTAAGTTCCTATAGAATATGAGTTAGGAATGACGAATGCCTCCAGTATCTAATATAAATCATTTAATTCAGAGTTAACATTCTACTCAACTAGAAAGATCACAATTATACTGGTTTATAGTGTTTAGGTTATTTTACAATATTATTAGAAAGATTATTTGAAAGCAACCTGTTATTGGTAAATACTATTTCATGGGTCAGCATGATTCTTTGTGTCATGCCTCTAGCAGAACAATTTGTTTCTTGGCATGTACAGCAGAAGAACAATGGAACAAGCTTGACTTTATTCAGGGATCTTCCATGAAATTAACTGTTTTAGAATGTCTCTTGTGTTAATGTTCACTAGCTATTCTAGTGGTCATGAAAAAGAGGAGAAAAAAGAGTCCAATGGGAATCGTAACAAAAAGATATAAAGAATATGAAGGATAGAGACAAGTCAAATGATTAGCACATACAGGTTGCTGGGAATATGGTGGCATATGAAGAAGAATAAGGGCTTGCGTTGATGAATACCAGACACTCATTCTTACTAGTCACTGAAAACCTACATTAAATTTGTCTTTTTAAATCTTCATTTTTGTTACCTCAGCTAGCTTTTATGAGGACTATTTTCAGTAGTTTTTTAAGAGTACCCTATGAAGTACCTCGTCATGGAGTGGGTCTCTAAAAACATCTATAAACATTCTCTGTTCCTTTAAATCATATTCCTTCAATTCCCCCTTATTATTTTCAAAATGGTGTCAAATCAATTCATTGGGAGGTAAGTTATGGCAGGAAGTTAGAAGGCAGGGATATGTAGACTTCATCACAACTGAGGGCATAGGAACTTTGCATAGTATATAAAGGACTAGTTTATACAGATACTTTCATTAAGTCTCAGTACAAAAGTCATGAAGTAATGCAAACATAAAAATCAGAACCAGGAGAGTTGTGAGAACCAAGAGGAATCAGTATGGTTGTCAGTAATGAAATATTTTGTCAATGAGGAGATTAGTAGTAAATAATGAAGACAATTGTTTTTGCATATCTTCGGAATACACATAAATGTATTTTTATTAAGGGATCCAATTTACTTAATAAGTTTCTGCATAATAATAAAACCCAGTGACAAGACATTTTTGTATGGCCTTTGAGAGTTTATGGCTCTCCTACAATATTATTTAACATCTGCTTTAACATACTATCTCACAAATTTTTTTCTCTTTAATTGCTCACTATTGCCCCAATTATACCCTGCAGGTATAATTATAGTGTTTATAAGAACCTAGAAAATGGCAAAGGCAATGCATTGCTTCAGTTATTTATGTGAAAAACCTGGCCTGAGTACTCACTGAGATATCTCTGGCTTCCTCCACAGTTTCTGGAGTGTTAAGAGAAAACGTGTGGCAGCTGTTGAGAATCTTGATCATGTACATTTTATCCTTGAAGAAATCCAATACCTACAAATGTTAAAATACAAACTGTTAGTCCAGTTTTGGGGATTGAGTAAATGAGTCCATGATGAGCACATGTATTAATTCAGTAGATTGTAAGCTTTACAAATGAACACTACATAAAATCTAAGATGAAGAAATTAAAAAGTTACTCCTTTACCTAGATTTTTCCTATTAAATTTTTAATCTCAATTATTTTTCATCTAATTATTTGTAATTTCTCAGGCTCTTCCGCTCTTTACCATACTCTTCTGTTCCCACATCTGAAAAATTATTGTTTGAAGGGAAACTCTAAAAATATTAAAATTACAAAATACAAAGTACTTCAAAGATAAACTGTATTGATGATTTGAGCCCAGTGCCATAGTTCCTAAGAATCTATATTTATTAATCTTTATTTTCTGTTTGTCTAAACTACAGTACATCTAGAATTTATAAAATTATAAATATTCTTTCTAGTACCACTGAACACATAAAACTTGTACCATTCTGAATGGACAAAGACTATGTGTAGTATAAACAGTGGAATATTATGCAGTCTTGGAGGAAAGAAAGAAGTCCTGTAACACACAACATTTTTATTTTCAATCTATGGGTACACAGCTTCAAAAAAACATCAGAGAAAAGCCAATTGCGTAAAAACATCTAAAATGGTTAACTGCTCTGGAAGGATCAGAGTGTGTTTTAACATGAATGAGCATGTAAGTTTTAGTTTTTTGCTAAGTAAAAGAAGAGGCACATACAAAAAAAAAAAAAAGAAAACTTGTACCATTCAAAGTCAAACATAATACTTGAATAATACTTGAATGTAACTCTATTAATATTGAATGCAAATTTATTAATTTTAATAATTTGATAAAATTATTAATAATTTGATAAAATACTGATAATCCTTAGGAAATGGAAATTACAAATCAATTAAAAACATAAAATAGAAATTAATCTTCACATATTCATTGATATATAAACTTTAATACTATATTAATTTAAATATACTATTTGAAATATCTTTTATGTAAAACTGATAAAAAGTTATTTTATTTAATGGATTACTAAGGACAGTAAGACTTAAAGGATATTAGTCAAGGATGAGGAATATAAAGATCTCATGAGTAAAAAGACAGTATAAATACATATATATTGCAAACATAAACATTCTTGGGATTCCAGTTGTTGTACTGAAAGCCTTTTCTGTTTTCTCTTGCCATTAGCTCACCTTGAACATACAGCATATTTATCACCAGTAAGAGAGAATCTTGTTTCATGTGTAAACCATCCCTCCAACTGAATAATCATTGGCCTCTGAAAACTATAAGCAATGATTCCTAGCATTTGATGGTTTCTAAAAGACCATTAACTTTGTGTCTGCTTCACTGTTGACATGGGGTCCTATTTAGACTTCTCCCTGTTGCTCCACATGAATTACAATGCAGTTCTACTTTCCAGAAAACCAGCAGTGCACTGAGCAGTGACACGAGCCTGAATCCCGAGGAGGATGAGTGGGAGATCTGGGGTTCTGCCCCACACAATCCTTCCACACGATTCTTATAGCTCACTAGTATAATTCCATTAAAATCTTAAAATCAGTGGGTTTTTTTTGTTGTTTCATTTTGTTTCTTTTTGATTCAGCTGCATCTTTCTCATTCTCTTTTTTAGTGAGGAACCTTTTTTTATTTTTAACTTGTGGAGGTAAATTCTTGAAATTTGTTTTGGGGTCCTTGTCATGTAAATTACATTTCAAATCTTAGCAGAAAGGTTTTGTTTTTTGTTTGCTTCCTTGCTTCCCCATCCCTTTGGGGTATTGTTGTTCTTGTTTGTCTTTGAAGAAGACAGAAATCAGTGTGGTACTTACAAATTTCTTGAACATGTTTGCAGAGAAGCCATCAGAGAACTAAAAGAGCACAGGGGATGAAAGGAAACTGGTGAGTAAACACAGAATGAGCACATGCATACTGGAAATAAAGAGATGAATTATCTGGCTCCATTATCTCCAACTCACACTGCCTACCCTCATGCAGATAACATTAAGCCATTGGCAAGAGATGGCTGGTGTGCCTTCTAAACCCACCCTCCCATAGAATAAGCATGGATTAGAAATCTTTTATACAATGACTCCTGCCTGGCATTTTAGAGTTTCTGAGAGACTAATAGCTTTTTATTATTTTTATTTTTTCCTTAATTGGCATCAAAAGAGTTGATATTTGGTCTATGCATTCTATGAAAGTCACTATACTGCACTTCACCTCTATTGAATATCCACAGTGAATAATTGAAGATACCACTGGAGACTTCTAAGAAAATCTTAGACCTGACTATTAGGTTTCATCTCACAAATGTAAATTTAAGAATATTGTGTTTTAAGAAAAATAGCATGGCACTAGAGGCAAATTTTGTAAGTGACTGAATTCTTTAAAAATCTTTGTGATATCCCAAAATTGCCCTACCCTCCTTTTTCTCCTTCCCAGTAGCTCATGATTCTTCTTATTTATGAAACTTGCATTATTAGAAACATGGTTGAGGTGATTTCTAGTAGACTGGAGTACACTAGAGTCATTGGCTAGAAGGCTCTTTTTGTGAAGCCAGAAGTGAGGTACTTACAAATAACTTGCGCATTTCTGTAGTGAGGGCACTGGTGGTCTGGGACAGTGTGATGGCATGATCAAACAGGTCCTTGAGGGACACGTCACCCTGTTCAGTCTTATTTTCATGTATGGGAGCACAAGTCACATTCTCCCACTGGAGTAGGTTTGACACCGACAGCAGCAGGAGTACCCCTACTTACAGAAAAGAAATGCAAGCTACCCTGGACATATACATCTGTGGTTATCAATGATGATTCTTTCTTGGTTATCAAGAAAAATGTTATCTCTTTCAGTGCCTACCACTGTCTGGCCAGTCACTATAAAGCTGTGGTAGTGAATAGTCATCTTCTAATGAAAAACAATCAATTAAGTAATTACATTTGAACAGATATATAGTTTCTGAACTTGGGGATGATTCCTATTTTTGGATTGGTATCAGAAATTATTATGAGGTTCTCAAACATTTGGACTTTAAATTATTGAGTTAGTGTTTTTAAGTCATTCTCTGGAAACAGGTTAGTGTATTGGGGATTTGTACTGATGTTAAGTAGTCACCCATCTCCTGTCCATTCTTGTAACTGAGTAGACAATATTCGTCTTGTGACAAGGCCAGCACACTACCATTTCCACTTCATGCCTGATAAAAATAAGCAAAATATTGCTGTTGCTCAGTACTGAGGGTGAAGAGAATCCTGTTAGGAAAAGGATTCTGTAGGCTGACTTTGCTCACTCACAATAATAATCACATTCATTTGTCATGCTACCAAAGCTTCCAATTGTTTTCTCTGTGAACTTGAGCTTTACAATAACCATGTAGGTAGACTGAGCCAGTGTGTTATCATTAAACTATATTGACAAAGAGGAGGCTTACAGCATTAAATGGTCTTCCTTCAGTCTTATTCTTAGCAACCCACAGTGGCATGTCGTAAATGTCTTGGGCTTCCATATATATTAATGTGGTGGAGAACACGCCCATAGTCTTGAATCTCGATGTCAGCAGGCAGTTACTTATAAAGTACAAACTTTACCTTGATCACATGCCCTGGTAGTTTAGATTTTTGTCTACTTCCATTGCTCTATCAAACTCAAACATCCTCCCTTTTCTTTTTACAGTGATTGGTGTTGGTTTCATCACCAATTTTATTTCACAGATGGACAGAAACAGAACTGTAACATATCAGCAATTTACACACTCAGCAGGATTGAACTAACATATGTCTCAGCATGAAAAATCCATTCACATTTAGTGATACAAATCTGACAAAATTCTGTTTCATGAAACTTCTAATGAATGCAATTGGAAATGTGTAACTTAAAGTTAGAACACTGGTAAGGTTTTTCCATGAAAAATGCCTAAGCTTAAATACTAAAAGTTGACTAAATCTACCAAAATCTTTGCACTATGCAAGATAACTATCAACCATTTCCATGCAAAAAAAGAAAAAAGCATACTTCAGATAATTCTTATTCTAAAAAATATTTTTCAAAAACCATGATGCTTCCTCAAATTTACATACTACTTCATACTTATTTATATATTAAACAAATATATCTGCATTATTGTCATTTGTTACCTGAAGAATTTTCATAGTTTAAGAAAAGTACAGGAATCTGGTGGTGGCTCATGCCTTTAATCCCAGCACATGGGAGGCAGAGGCAGGCAGATCTCTGTGAGTTCGAGACCAGCCTGGTCTACAAAGCTAGTTCCAGGACAGACTCCAAAGCTACAGAGAAACCCAATTGAAACCAACCCACCCAAAAAAAGAAAAGAAAAGTACAAGGAAATTAATGGCTCGGTTTTTCACTTCAGAAAATGCAATTTGTTTTTGTTAACAAATCCATTTAATTGGAAATATTATTAAGGAAATAAAAGTAAATATTACCAGTGATTCATGGCTTGGAAAGGATATTTGGCTTGAATGAAATTGAAAAAGCAGTATAGATCTACATCTTCTAGCATTTTCTAATTTGTTTCTAGAACTGAAGATACAATAAAGTTCACTCAATTCATACAACTCATAGCAGAGACCCAGAAACCAGAATATGCTATTTCCTTCTACAGTAGCTACGTGTGAAACTCATCAAATCAAATTCTGGGATCTCACTGTTGTCAAACATGTCCATATCTGCAGTTTTGATTTTTAGAGGTAGATCTGTCCACATTCTGGAGCTCTCTGTGTTGTACATTGTTGAGTTGACTCATTGCTGGTCTCTGCTGTTGGACACAGGTACTATACTTTTCTACTTAGATCAACTACAATCATGCAAATTATCTCTAGAGATTCCTGTCTATCCCAAGGGTAAGAAGACTTCCCTTTTGGAACCACTGATGTAAAAGCATACTACACAGGTGAATTCTGGATCAATGGTTAGAAAGTACTTCTCTGTTTCATTTAGCTTTCCTTTTGTGAGTTAGACATAAATAAATGTCAATTCACTTCATGGGACAAAAACACCAAAGAGGCAAACTGTCCAAACAAAGTTTGCAAAATAATGCATTGTTTAAGTAAGCTCACTTAGAAGAAATTGGGAAAGAATTACTTACATAGGGAGGGTTGAGTCAAAGACGGCAACATCTCAGAGGAGTCTAGCCACAGCTTGACTGCTGATTCTGGATAGCTGCTTCACAGTAGTTCTCCTTTAAGTTAATTTTCCACCACTACATATTGCAGAATACCATGCCCAAGGCCATAAACTGCTAGGAGGCAGGCGGAAGGACATGCCTGCAATCACATTGATGGTTCCATGTTTCTTTCCCCTCAGAGAATGTCAACAGCATCATAGCAATGGTGACGAAAGTAGGCGTATCTACATTATTCAGTGCATTTCAGGGTCAAGACCAGGCTCCAATTTAAATTATAAATAACCAGAGTCATCTCTATGCCATGAGGATTGATTGGAATTTCATTAGCTAAGAAAATAACTGTCTTAGACCTTTATTTATTTCCATTAGGTTCTTGTGTATTTTGGTGACCACTTTTGAAATATTTACTGAGTATTGGATACAGTGACACATTTGTTTCCCTGTTTCTGAGCATTGGAACGCAAGGCCACAGGGTGAATCACAAATACTGAACAACTTAGTCTTTGTGGGTATCCAAGCGACACTGCAACTGTTTGTCAATATATTCTAGGCCCATAAGAGTAACACAGAGGGCAAATGTAGATGCTTAAAAGGCTTTTGTATTGGCAAATCACATTCATGTCTCAAACAGCATCAAAGAATTTCCCATCAGTGCCTAAGGCTTGACATCTACAGATTCTGAGTGAGGCTTACTGTAACAATCATGTTCTGTCCATGGAACTGAGTTTAAATATATTCTAGTGCATTGGGCTACACCTATATGGGCTGGGACACTGTTTGGATGAGTTAATACATCTGGTTTGGTTCACTAATACTCTTCACTTGGGTTTAATTAAGGTCTCTTAGTGACAGTTCTCAACAGGAGATAGCTATTACATGGTACTATGGAAGTCACGAAATGCTATGTTATCTTCTATGTAATCAGATTTCTGAAACCAAAGCATGTGACTTCTCATTCCATAGTCTCTTACTTTTGGTACTGCTTACGTCAAACATGCTGTTATATTACACAGGTGGCCTCTCGAGCCTCACTGTCACACGTCTCATAGGAAGACTCTGGGAAGCTGGGAAGTATGAAGAAAAGTTCATTCAAAAGAAGAGGTACACCTGGTAGTTTTCTGATAGTATGTAGGATTCTAATGTTTTGCTGACTACCAGACTAAAGAAAAACAATTTGGATTACTGAGCTTCTTTGGGTATACTAAGAAAAGGGGACATGAAGGTGATAATGATTTAATAATACTTATGTTAAATAATTATCTTACCACAAATATTATACAGTTTACTTCCTCAAGTAAATGGGAATACACTCACCATAGACACATCTCTGCTTGAGATCATGTTGTATATAAGAATGGGAGAGTCTTCCCTGGCAGTAAGACAAATACATTGAACTTAATTGTTTGGAGGAAAAGAAAGCATTTGTGGTGGAAAATTTTCATCTAACCCTGAACTTTCAACAGAGAGTTGTGACCAATGTAAAAACAGTGGCTAAAGGAGTTCTGGAAGCAAACAAATCAGGAGTGTTCTTAACAAGATAGCTGGGTTGGCAGGTGTGAATTGGCCTTTCTCCCACTTACCTGGACTGGGTTTATCAGTTCGATTTCCTCCCAAGTTATCTATTCTTTTGTCCACTGGAGGATACCATAAATACAGAAGCAAAATTCTCCTAGGAAAGACAATCTTATGGAGAGGACACATAAAGGTGGTAGTGACTGCCATTTACTCTTCTCTGTTCAAAACTGACATGGCTCCTAAATGAACATATCAGGTACTAGATAAGCAAGCGGGCAATCCTGTTATGGAAATGCCGGCATAAATTGGGTTCAGAGTTCTATGTGTAGCCATTAGACCAGGTTTGAGGGTGCAGGAAAAGCCCATACCAAAATTAACGCTACAGGTATGAGGTACAAAGGGCCATGATCCAGGCAAAAGCATTAGGACATTCATGAAAGGAAAACGTTTTGATTTTACTTTTAAGAAACCAATTTGTGTGTGTGTGTGTGTGTGTGTGTGTGTGTGTGTGTGTGTGTGTGTGTGTGTGTGTATGTCTCTGTCTGTATGATATTAAAACGCATTAAATTTACTATGCATATGTCCATATGGGTGCCTGTGCAAGCCAGATGAGGATGCTCACTGATTCCCTGAATCTGGAGTTAAATGTGCTTATGAGCTACTTGACTGGGGTTCTGGGAACCTAAGTCTGGTCCTTAGGAAGGGTAGTAAGTGCACTTAACCACTGAGCCATCTCTCCAGTCTTCCATCCTGGAGAAGCTTCTATTTTTAAAGTTTTCCAAATGTATCTTATCCATTCATGCTTTGTAGTTTTTTTTTTTTTTTGAATCAACTGAAGTAAGTATTGGAGTATTTTATTTGTAAGTTATATCTTATTTGGTTTTTCTAAGATTTCATTTTTATTTTCACTAAAATATGCATGTGTATATATGTCTAAATCTGGGTTTGTTCACACAATGCCAGGGGAGGGCAGAAAAGGGTGTCTTATCTCCTGCAGCTGGATCTTTTGGCAGTTGTGAGCCACCTTGCACATATACTGGATATGAAACTCGTTTTCTCTGTAGGAACACTATGCAGTCTTAAAACACTGCTTACATTTGTTTGCTTTTTTGGTTTATTAAAGAGTTAACTTACTTATTAGTATTTTTATTGAAATAAAATTACATAATCCCATCTTCACTTCCACCCTCCAGTACTACCCAAGCACCCTTCCTTAAAGCCCTACAATGTTGCCTCCACTCTCAAGTTGATAGTCCCTTAATTTATTATATCTGTTGTTTGTACTATTATATAAAAATGGAAACTGTTGACTATTTTTGTTGTTTGTATGAATGTAGCTTTAAAGATGAGGACTCTTCACTGAACAACAAGTGAGAGGGCTCATCCCTAGGAAAGGCTAAGTCTCCTCCCAGCAGTCAATAGATGCTTGTGGTTCTTTGTTGAGGGGTGGAACCCTCTGTAATTTCCCCCTTCCATATTGAGAATATCCATTGATATTGCTACTCTGCTCTTGTTTATGTAGCCATTTTTAGAATAGAGTGATTGACAGCAGACTTTCTGATATTCTTGTTCAAACTTTCTGCCCACACTTCTGAAATGTCCCCTGAGCCATCAGTGCAGAAACTGTGATGGAGATGTACATATTAGAGCTGTGGTTCTCATGAGCCTTTCATCTCTGCATTGTGTCCAGTTTGGGTTTTCAGTGATGGTTTCAATTTGTTGAAAGAGAAGCTTATTTGGTGAAGGGTGGTAGCTACAATTATCTATGGGTATAATGATAACATTCAGAATGTAGTAAGGAATTATCCTGATCAAAAACGTGAAGGTAGTAGTTTTTCTCTAAGGTCCAATGACCTTATTAGCACTAATTTTCATTTTCCTGAGGAATCCCCATACTGATTTCCAAAGTGGCTGACGAGCTGGCACTACCACCAGCAGTGGAGGAGTGTTCCCCTTTCTCCACATCCTCTCCAGCATAAACTGTCATTAGTGCTTTTGATTTTAGCCATTCTGACAGGAGTAAGATGGTAACTCAGAGTTGTTTTGATTTGCATTTCCCTGATGGCTAAGGATGTTGAAAATTTTCTTATGTGTCTTTCAGCCATTTTAGATTCCTCTATTGAGAATTGTCTATTTAATTCAATACACCAATTTTTACCTGGATTAGTTGATATTTTGGAGACTAGCTTCATGAGTTCTGTGTAAATTTTGGAGATCATCCCTCTGTCAGATATGGGGTTGGTGAATATCTTTCCCCATTCTGTGGGCTGCCGTTTTGTCTTGCTGAATGTGTACTTTGCATTACAGAAGCTTTTCAGTTTCAGGATTCCCATTTATTAATTGTTGGTCTCAGTGTCTGTGCTACTGGTGTAATGTTCAGGAAGCAGTCTCTTATACTAATTCATTCAAGGGTATTTCCAAATTTCTCTTTTAATAGGTTCAGTGTGGCTGGATTTATGTTTAGGTCTTTGATCCATTTGGACTTAAGTTTTGTGCATTATGATAGACAAGGATCTATATTGTATAGATTGTATATTGTATTTTTGTCAAAAATCAGGTGTCTGTAGGTGTGAGGGTTAATATCAGGGGTTTCAACTCAATTCTATTGGTCTACCAGTCTACTTTTGTGACAATATCAGACTGTTTTCAAGACAATAGCTCTACAATAGAGCTTGAAGTCAGGCATGGTGATGCCTCTGGAAGTTCCTTTATTGTACAGTGTTGTTTTGGCTATCCTGGGTCTTTTGTTTTTCCATATAAAATTGAGAATTGTTCTTTCAAGGTCTGTGAAGAATTGTGCTGGGATTTTGATGGGGGTTTCATTGAATCTATAGATTGCTTTTGGCAAGATTATTGGTTCTACATATCCAAGAACATGGGAAATCCTTCCACTTTCTGGTATCTTCTTTAATTTCTGTCTTTAAAGATTCAAAATTCTTATGATACAGGTCTTTCACTTGTTTAGTTAGTGCTACCCCCAAGGTATTCTATGTTGTTTGTGGCAATTGTAAAAGGTGATGTTTCTCTGATTTCTTTCTCCATGCATTTATCATCTGTATATAGTAGGGCTACTGACTTTTTTAGTTAATCTTGTATCCTGCCACTTTGCTGAAGGTGTTTATCAGCTGTAGGAGTTCCCTAGTAGAGTTTTTCAGGCCACTTATGTAGACTATCATATCATCTGCAAATAGTGAAAGTTTGACTTCTTCCTTTCTGATTTGTATCCCCTTGATCTCCTTTTGTTGTCTTATTGCTCTAGCTACAACTTCAAGGACAATGTTGAAGAGGTATGGAGAGAGTGGACAGCCTTGTCTTGTCCCTGATTTTAGGGGGATCATGTTGAGTTTCTCTCCAATTAGTTTGATGTTGGCTGTTGTCTTGCTGTATATTGCTTTTATTATGTTTAGGAATGTTCCTGTTATCCCTGATCTCTCCAATACCTTTATCATGAAGGGGTATTAGATTTTCTCAAAGGCT